ACTTCTCACTTGCTGTAGCTAGAAAACGGTGGTTTGTTTTGTTTTCAAACAAAAGATGTGGGTGACTAATTAATCTACGATATTTTAGCAAATTTTCATAAATAAATTAATTATTTTCTGTTTTGTTCGGAAATTTAAAATTTTATCATAATTTTAAATTCGTGATAAACAAAAAACAAAACAACAGTAAACTGTAATATGACTTTGCTAGAAAACAAAAAACAGACTGAATGTAGCGCCAATTTGAAGCGAGATACCACAACTGAAACGATACTTGTATCTGTAAAAGTGTATTATGAAATATATTTCTAAAATATTTAAGAAAAAAACTTTATTTCATTTATTACGTATTATTCAGAAACGAATTGTCTTTCACGTGACAAAAAAATCTAAACGGATCACGTGACACGCTCCGCTGTTTGGTGTACAGAGCTAAATTTCCTTGAAAACAGCTGTTTGTCAATGTTCGCAGGTTATTTCCAAGTATGTTTAAGGGGAAGACAGGTTTCTAGATAGATGCTCATCATATACCGTAAGCAAACAAATATATCCATAGAATATCGGTCATTCGTAATGTTTGTATAGAAGGGGACCAAAAAAATGGTAAAAAATATAAGCTTCCATTGGATGTATAATTTCAAAATTTGCTGAGGTAATAGAAAACATCCAATAGAATATAAAATAAGCTTTTCCCGAGTAATATAGTGCATAGAACGTTTACGAGAGATTTTTGATTGTTGCAGGAATATACTGGGGCGAGGAACTACGCAAGCGCTCGTGTTGCCCGAGTTTACTCGGGATAGAAACTAAAGGTACACCCATGTACCAAGCATCAATCTGCATTATTTCCTTAGCTTCTGTTGTCCTATCCTAAAACCCTCCAGTTATAGGGAAAAACAATGGTTTTAGGCTATAACTTTTTCCAGTGAAACTTGTGGAGCAATGAGTAATAGCATCAGAATACAGTGTAGTTTTACCCTAGATTTACCCTAAATATGAGACTACTCGAAACATTACTCTGAGAGATTGAAATTACTTTAGAAAAGAGTAATTACTCTAGAAACGGTAGCACGGGTCAAGAATGAACACAATACAAACTCAGCAAGTGTTTGCAATGTGCCTGTTGATAAGTTACAACCTATCCTTCGTATTGTGGTTGCATCAGCTAACGTTCAGAACGCGTTATGGCTTTTCTTAGTCACCACAACGAGTAGTGGTCAAATATCATGAAAGCCACGATGCGAATTTCGCTTTCTGATGGTTTGAGTTAGCCACAACGCGTTTTGAAACGACCAAAACGCGTTGTGGTCGGTTTTTCGCTCAATGAGCAATTTCGGTCTTTGAACCTAACATGTATAGGCTTAAATAAAACATTATTCACGACAGCTGACGAGTGTCAGTTGCTATCATCGTAATTAGACTTTACATTTTCGGAGATTTTCAAAACAATGGGCGGGAAAACACTTTGTTTCTGGCTTGGGAAAGCTGTGATTAATTTCATTTAAAATTCCATTATCTATATATATAAATAAGAATGTTTGAATGTTTTTCGTTTGTATGTTTGTTCGCTATACGCGCCTAGGCCATTCCGCCAATTGCTACGAAAGTCGGCAATTACGTTTTAATACCAACTAACTTAGATAATGCCAGACATCCCATCCCAAAATATCTATTGAATTTATGTAAATCAATTACTTTCTTTTGCCATGTGATTTGCTGATTTACAATGTAAATGAGCAAATGAAATGTTTGAATCAAAAGTAAATCAGCAATTACATTTTCTTAAATTTAAATCGTAAGAAAATATTCTAAAATACAATTAATAATAAAGAAAACTCCCGTAAGTACGAATTCGTCTTATTTGACGTCGTTACCTGGTAATGTCGACTACGTGGAATCAAAAGTGTTGTCCTGTGAAAAGTCTATAAGAATTTAATTTTACATACGTAACAACTCGAGTTTTTTCACTTCTAAACGGTACTTTCTGAATTCTAATAAGCGTCCTCCATTAAGTTGATAATACCATCGAACTCTGGTAGTTAGTTTGTCGGGGGTCGGGCATGGTAAACGGGCTGGAGTTTTCCGGTTTTCTTCACGTTAGTAACACTTAAATAAGAGTTCAGCTTCCCATAGAAGTCTTCCCGGGATGCATTTCCCTCGGCATATCGCTTACCTGTCGCGTTGCCCTAACCAAATAAACCAAACTACTGTAATTATAACCAGCGCTTATTTATTGTGACATCGTCGCAATGCTGGGTTGCAACTTTTCGTTACCACAGTCCACAAACTTTAAGGCCATTCGGTTTATCACGAAATATTAACGTCTTCTGAGAAATCTCTTCTTCTACTTCGTAAAAAATATTTCTTTTGATTTTTTCTAATGTAATCGTCAACGAGATTTTCTTCTTCAATTAACACTATAAATAATTATCTTAAATATAAAATATTGCCTCTGTATATGAGAATTCCATACGCTCTCATTCATTTAGTCGAACGTTACTAGTAAAAAACGAAATGCTGCACAGTAAACCCATTTATCGTCGTTTCCGTTCTGACAAAGTACGAACCGATCCGAAGTTGACACCAAAACGGATACGAAGAAAACACCAAACGACACGCTCCTTTCGATTTCATCTTAAAAGATTTGGTTCATCACGAAACAACTTGGCATCCATTCATTATTATTGTTTATTTAATATGGAATGTGCCTATCCACGTCACGCAGCGCAACGAGTTTACAAACTTTCTGAAACAATTGTTTGTTTCGCTCGAAAAACTCTAAATGAAGAGAATTCACGAAAGTTTGAGTTTGCAAATGTTCCAGTTTTTGTGCAACCAATTTGCCCAATTTCAAAGTATACAAAAACCGCGAAGAATGAATTTCATTTTGTTTAGCAAAATTCACATTACAGTGAATTTCATTCAACACGTTTTGCCACATGTCTTGCGACGTTGCTGGGTTTGTTGAAGGGATACGGAATTCAGAGAGGGTGATTAAAACAGTGGTTTCAGTAAATAAAACCTGCATTTATTGACCCAGGTATTAATAATAATGAAACTGTAAGAACAAAAATTGCTCGGATCTGCGGATCAAAGATAAAAGATCATTCTTCTTCCATTCCATAACTTTGGTGTTTCAAATTTCGCAAAAACAATACTGGTGCTCCAACCCATACATCTAGGTGATGAGGTAGGAGTTTAGTTGGTTCCGAGGAGTTTAATAACTTCACCTAGTACATTCGTCAAGCATTCGTTTTTAGATGCCAATATCGCTCACGTATGTTCATTTGTGGTTTATGTAGTGTTATTAAATTAGTATCCGGATCTTTATTGAATTCGCCATGGCCAAGACGCAAAAGTTATTCAGCAAATTTATCTGCAGATCTGTCTTTCGATAGATGAACTCTCGTAATTGTTGACAAAGACTATTTAATTTGATTTTACAGTTACGATGCCTTTAGGCAAACATTAAGCTACTTGGCAGGTGTCGACAGCAAATTTCATGCCATATCAAATCTCTTTTATAAGTTTCGAATTTGAGGAATAACAATAGTAATAATAATGATGCTAATGATACGGTAAAATAATAAAATAACTTTGTTATACATAAAAGTAAAAGGGCAAAGGCAAGATCTTACATCGCGCAACTCTTATGCCTGGGCCGTGTTCAGTAACGCAGAACAACTAAGAATTCTGAGTGGCTTAGTGGGCGGAGCTAAGAATGTTCTGACTAAGACCTTGTGACAAGTGAGCATCATTGAACGACTATTCTTTGTTAGACAGCTAGGTAAAATGGCGGACGAAGTGAAAATTATTATTGCAACAATTGTCGCAAACGAACTAGCCGAAAACGATGAAATAACGAATACAATTATTCAAATGGAAGGTACTGTACGTCAGATCTAGACGAAATGANAAATTTTAGAAATGTTTAAAACAACAATGTAGAACATAGGTGGTGAACCTTTCTAAGTCTGCATGCCATATGATAGGCATACTTATCATTAAAGGTGTTCATGCATGCCAAAGATTTAGACCTTGAATAACAATATTTAAAGAAACAAAACAAATATGCTTAGAAGAAATGTAAAGAATCTGATTGAAAAATGCCAATTGGGTGATAAACCAAAATTGCATGATACATTATGTGTCAGATGATTTCTCTCAAGTTGCACATGTTTGCCACCCCTGATCTAGAGTATGATTAAACTCTTGCAAACTTGTTAGTATTTAGGGTGGTCATAAAGTAATTTGACCAACTAATGGCAATCTTGGGAGTGTAGAAAGTGAGGAATCTGTGAAAACTTTTGCAGTGTAAGTACAGAGTGACATTCACTCATGATACACGAAAATAGGGGTGGAACACACATCACAGTTATAGTAGACCTGGACATGTTTTCAGATGAGGGAAAAAATGGGAGAATACATGCTTTGTTGAATTCTGCTCAACATATGCTTTTATACTCACAACTGATGTCACAGAAAGCTTCAGTTATGATGCTGCCACCTCATCTTTGAACCTGTATGGGTCTTCTGTCATGGATATTGGTTCACCTGGGCCATGTTCAGTAACACAGAACAACTAAGAATTCTGAGTGGCTTAGTGGGCGGAGCTAAGAATGTTCTGACAAGTGAGCATCATTGAACGACTATTCTTTGTTAGACAGCTAGGCAAAATGGTGGACAAAGTGAAAATTATTATTGCAACAATTGACACAAACGGACTAGCTGAAAACGATGAAATAACGAATACAATTATTTAAATGGAAGCTACGTCAGATCTTGACAAAATGAATGAAGCAATCATTAATTTTAATCAAAGAAATGGACTATTATCGTCTGTTAAAATGTATTCGGAATCTACTATACCGACATATGATGATTTTACATATGTCGAAGTCATTTTAGAATGAGTAGACATTCAATCCAAGCAAGTTTCAGTTTTAATTACTACTTTAGCTATATTCTAAATATTATCTAATTTAAAAAATTATCCATAGAAACTTCTAGAATTTGTTCAAGACAATCTTCAAACTTCTGAAACAGATGGTATAGGGAAGAATTTAACAACAATCCCAGTTATTAAAAAAATTCTCATAACTGTATGGTATCTTGCCAATCAAGAAAGTTATAGGTAAATAATAAGTAATTAATTTAGTTTCTAAAGCGTTTTGATTTTAATATAAAGAATTAATGTTATATTTTCAGACAAATTGCAGACAGATTTCGGGTATGGAAAAGTACTGCTCATTATATAATTTCTGCTACTATTAAGGCAATTGCATCACATCAGCACGATTTCATACAATGGCCAGAATCTCATCAATACAAGTCAATTGCAAATGATTTTGAATCAAAAAGACACTTTCCAGGAGTTATAGGTGCCATAGATGGTACATATATACACTGCAAACCTCCAATGAATGGTAGGAATGCTTTTGTCAATTGCAAAGGTGATCCATTGATTATTCTCCAAGCAATCTGCAATTCAAATAAAGTATTTTTGGATATATTTGCAGATCGAGCAGGTTCTACACGTGATGCTCGTGTATTTCACACCAGTCCTCTTGGTCAAAGATTAGCAAATGATCCTAACTTTATACCCTCAGATTACCATTTACTTGGTGATTCTGCTTATCCATGTACAGTTAATTTATTGACACCTTTTAGAGACAATGGTCATTTATCTCCACAAGAAAAACATTACAATTATGTACACAGCTCAACGCGTGTAGTTATTGAACAAGCATTTGGTATTTTAAAGGCAAAATTTCGCAGACTTAAATATATAGACAAAACACGCATCGACTTAGTCCCTAATGTTGTTATTGCATGCTGTTGTTTGCATAATTTAATATTAAATACAGATGGGAGCATCTGTGAGTGTGATATTGAGGAGGAGGAGGATGATGATGATGATGATGATGATAAAGATAAATCTTATCAAATTATGAATGATGATTCAGTTTCAGGAAAATCAAAAAGAAATGAAATAATGAGACTGATAATATAGAAAGTATTGTACAGTACATGAAATAATGCATTGAATTTAATACTTGTACAAAGTTGTAGAATTATGGTTTTCTTTAAAGTTTTGTAAAATAAAATTATTATTGTAGTAATAAACTGTTTTAAAAATTATACAGCATGTAAATTCATTGTATATTATAGCAGTTATAATAGCAGTTATACATATATACATAAAAAATGAATACTCCATTAGATTTTATCTAATGGACACCTTGTCATGTATTTCTCTTTGTAAAATACTGAACCTAACAAATTTGATGTACCAATTGACTGGTTGATTATGATTGACTTGTTGGTCACCTGTTATTAACATAAGTTTTATTTTAAAGTATAAAAATGTTTTAAAAAGTAAACAATATATATGTAGAACAATTTTTATTTGTTTCCAAGCAAAAACATTTTATTTATTTTAATTTTTCTTCTAATATATTAACTAGTTTTGTTAATATGTCAGTTCTTTTCCTGTTTTCGTTAATATTCTCTTGCAAGACTTTTGCCATGCGATCCTGATNAAATATTTAAAATATGATCATATAATATGTATATTATATGTTGTTTCACTTGCACTTTTAATACATTCAGAATTTTTGACAAAAATATTTTAAAATTTTCAAATATGTTACTTATTTATTCATTTCAATTGAAAATTAAACATAGAGTCAATGTGGGTAAATATGAGACAGTTGTGAAATTCGACTTAATCTGATTTGTTTTGTACTAATACAAAATAAAGCTTATTTAGTGCTTTTTAACATGTAACTTCTGAATGAAAATGATTATGGCTCCATCGAGTCTTTTTAATTTTTAAGGAACACTACAAAAATAGATGAACTGATAAAAGTCTTTTTACCTAACTTTAGCTCTATATTCTGCAAAAGACAGATATTTAATTAGAAATTTGTATGTAGTATATAAACAGCTTTCAGCTCCTAGTTGTTTTTATTGCACGTATCATCTTTTGTCTGAGTTTTGTGCATTTCAAAATGAGACAAACCAGATTTTATTCAACAGTCATTAATTAATTTCCACAAAATTCTTTAGTTGTGCTGTATCAAAGAAAAATATATCTTTGTTCTTGTAGGTGTGAGTTTTGAATGAAATAATAAAGATGCCAAACAATTATCGGAAAAACTAAGAAGTAGGGTCAATGTGGGTAAATATGAGACACTTCAAAACATGCATATTTAATCTTATCTACTTCTAAATATCATGGAGCAATGTTTTATACAAAAATGTCTTGCATTTAACCTATAGTACCTCATTATTAACCTCCATGTTGGCATAGGCAAGTCCTTATGGTGATGTAACAGGTCTCACATTTTTCATCTCCCGGTGTCTCATATTTTACCTTTTGAAAGTAAAATAGGAGACAAGGAAAAATTTTTTGCTCAACATTTCTCATACATACATAAAAAAAATGAATACTCCATTAGATTTTAGTGCCATCTGTACACCTTGTCATGTATTTCTCTTTGTAAAATACTGATCCTAACAAATTTGATGTAACAATTGACTGGTTGATTATGATTGACTTGTTGATCACCTGTTATATAACATTGTTATTAACATAAGTTTTATATATATGTAGAACAATTTTTATTTGTTTCCAAGCAAAAACATTTTATTTATTTTAATTTTTCTTCTAATATATTAACTAGTTTTGTTAATATGTCAGTTCTTTTCCTGTTTTCGTTAATATTCTCTTGCAAGACTTTTGCCATGCGATCCTGATGCTCTGCATCAGTTTTTGCTTTTTTCCTTTGATTGTTCAAGATTTCTTTAGCCCATTCTGGCATCTTTCCTTTTTTCTTTATTTTTTCTTCTGTTTTGTTGTTTGATGAACTGTAAAGAACAAAGAATGTTATAATATACATTATAAATAACAGCTTAATTATAAATGATATAAATTGCTCACCTAATTTCAGAAATTGTCTTGTTTTCTTCTGTTTCATTTTCATTGTTTTGTTTTTTATTATCAGAAGAATTTATAAGTTCTGAAACCGGTACTACTGTTCCTGTATTTCCCAATACATCATTTAAAAGGTAAAAGTATGGCCAAGATATTCGACCTCTTCCTGTTGAATTATTGTTATCCATAATTTTTTTATAGGTTACACCTAGGTTACTCCACTTTTTTTGGATGTTTGTCCATGACACATGGAAACCTTTTTTTAAAATAATGTTTGATATATCTTTCCAAACTTCTATTTTTTTTTTTTTTCTTGGTTTCTGGAAATCTAACATTTTTTCTCTATACGTTTCAATTAGTAGTAATATACAGGCATGTGTCCATACAAATTTTTCTGAAAATTTATTGAACAGTAATTATAGAATAATAATAACATTATACTAAATAATGAAAACTATATTATACCTTTCGAGTTTGCCTCATCTTTAGGAATTATTTCATTTCTTTCACTTAATCCTATATTATCAGAAAGTTGGTTGGAACTAAGATTTTCATGATTTGAACCTATTTCTTTATTTTCTTTATTATTATCTATACAATTCTGCATGTATGCAGAAAGAAAATTTGCATCTGAAGAACACATATCTATAATGAAAAAAAGTTTTTATTCTAGTACTGTACATAATAATCTAGAATAAAGTGAATAGTGAGACTTAATTAATTATAAAAAGTACTAATTGTCTTCAAATTAACTATTTTATAATAAAAATAAACTAGAATCTGTGAAAGTCGTTCTTATTAACAGAGTATTAATTTACTTAATGGGTGTAATTACTGTTAATTTAAGTGTTTGAAATAAATTATTGTGGAAGTTATAAAAAAAACAAAGAAAAGTTAATATCTTACCATTAAAACTGTTAGCCTCTTGTTCACTCATTGTTATAACAATTTTATGATTGTTATAATAAAATATGTTTTGACCAACACGAGCAGCCATCTTGTAAATCGTACGAGACAAAAGCAATAACGTCGCTAGCAGAAGTTAGCGTAGATAAAAGACGCTGACTGAACTAGCAAGAATTCTAGCGGTGGGAGGAGTCAAGCAGTAATTAGAAACGAGTTTAACGCAGCACAATTGGACTTAGTAAAAAGCGCCCTACCTTAACTACCAAGAATTCTATAGGTGGGAGGAGTCAAGCAGTAGTTAGAAACGAGTTCAACATCGCAGCATAACTAGACTTAGCAAGAATTCTGCGTTACTGAACACGGCCCAT